GAAGTTCATATGGAGATTTTCCCTGTAAAAGTGGAGTGGGTGTGCGATTTATAAGATAAACGGCGGTGCGAACACATTCGCCCCAAAACTCAAGAGGTAAAGAGGCCTGAAACATTAGAGAACGAGCGACATTAAGAATGTGGCGATGTTTGCGCTCGACTCGGCCATTTTGCTGGGGTGTATTAACACAGGAAGTTTGCACAAGTACCCCCATACTAGTGTAAAATTCACGCAGAGGCCTGTTCAAGAACTCAGTACCGTTGTCAGACCGAACAACTTTAATAATTTTACGAAATTGAGTATGGATGAGAGAGAAAAACTGTTTTAAACAGCTAGCAACCTCACTTTTATCAACAATGAGAAAAACCCAAACAGCTCTAGAAAAGTCATCCACAATGGTAAGGAAATAATGAGACCCAGTAGAAATACATGGAGAATATGGACCCCATAAATCACAATGAATTAAATCAAATAGGTTCTCAGCTTTATTAAGACTATGAGAAAATTTAGAACGAGTCTGTTTGGAGAAGAAACAAATATCACAAGACTGAAAATTTTTAATTTCAGTATGGCTCTTATTAAACGGAGGGAGAGACAGAACTTGTGGAGATGGGTGGCCAAGACGCTTGTGTAACAAGGAAACAGACTCAGCTTTAGACGCTTGGGCTTGAGAGGGAAAGACATAGACTCCGTTGCGTGCTTCACATTGACCAATCTGAATCTTTGTAGTTCGGTCCTGTATCACACAAAAATGATCATCAAAGAAATGATAACAGTTATGTGAGTTGACAAGACAACTCACTGATATCAAATTGCACTTCAAATTGGGAACATATAAAACATTGTGCAAGATTAGGGAAGGGGACACTTGCACACGGCCATAAGAGTTGGCCACCACGTGAGTTCCATTGGGCAAACTGATAGTGCAAGGAGGCCGCGGCACAACATCAGTCAAACAATGCAATAAACCTGTCATATGATGAGATGCACCACTATCCACAAGCCATTCACAAGACATTGTAAAAGACGGACCTTGCAATTATTCAGAAATTGATGGTGCAGAAGCAACAGAGAAAACTAAAGAATCACAAAGTAATGCCTGTTTCAACAGAATTATCTCCAATCCAATAATTGGAAGCAACAATAATTCCCAAAAACAAATGACAGCAGGAGGAGACACCAGCGCACTTTGCAACTTGCAAATTAAATAAAAGCCACAATTTGGCAAGCAAATTATAATCCAATTTGGCAGCAAGCCAAGATTGCCGATCAAATTATAATCCACAACTTGCAAATTAATACACTAGCCAAGATTGCTGATCAGCAGCAGCGCACAGTCACAGAGAAAAAAAAATACAGCGCATAAACCTGAAGAGGACTTATCAGCGGCGCACAAAGACCAGAAGGGATACAATCGCACAGAAATCAGCAGCGCATGATTACACGATCAGCCCAGATCGGCGAAAAACACATAAGGGATTCGTCGCACGCTGGAGAGCGGAAACGCTAAAGGCTAGGATTGGCTCCGATACCATGTAGAATTTTAGCGGAACTCCTCTGTTTTTCATTAATCACAAACCGATATATATACAAGTACAAAGATGGGCTAATCACACAGGCCCAATAACACAATATCTACAGCCCAATTACAAATACCCGCTAACAGTTGTCAAATCAACTTTATATAGGTTGTCCAATCGGTGGTGCTTTACTCCATGATGTGGTGCGTTGCTCCATAAAGTAAAGTAATGATACTTTATGGAGTAAAGTGTCAAGCTTTAGGTTAAATCAATTAAATAAATAGATTTGCACAATATAAGAATTTAATGTGTAGGTAATTAGTTAATTCGCTAGGGATTATAAATACACTTCTTCGAGCATTATAATAAGCCAATTCGTTAAACAACCCTATTTGAAATTTCGTATTTATGGCTCACATTTCTCAAAAGAGTTCAAAGACAATGTTTACTCCGAGTTTAAAGGTCTTGATGGGTAGTGTATTGATATGGAACCGCGTGCCTTATAAAGTTGGTGCGTGACTCGATACAAACTTTATGTCAAATCAAAATAAATAAATGGGTAGTGTATTGATATGGAACTGCGTGCGTAGTAATGTTGGTGAGTGGCTCGATGCAAACTTTATGTCGAATCAAAATAAATAAATGGGTAGTGTATTGATATGGAACTATGTGCATAGTAATGTTGGTGCGTGGCTCGATGCAAAATTTATGTCAAATCAAAATAAATAAATGAGTAATGTATTACAATGGAATCGCGTGCATAGTAAAGTTAGTGCGTGACTCGATGTAATTTTAATGTTAAATTAAAATAAATATATGAGTAGTGTACTGATATGGAACCGCGTGCATAGTAATGTTGGCACGTAACTTGATGGAAACTTTATGTCAAATGAGAATAAATAAATGGGTAGTGTATTGTTATGGAACCGCGTGCGTTTTAAAGTTGGTGCGTGACTCGATGCAATCTTTATGTCAAATCAAAATAAATAAATAGGTAGTGTATTGATATGGAACTGCGTGCGTAGTAATATTGGTGCGTTGCTCGATGCAAACTTTATGTCAAATCAAAATAAATAAATGGGTAGTGTATTATTATGGAACCGCGTGCGTTTTAAAGTTGGTGCATGATTCGATGCAAACTTTATGTCAAATAAAGATAAATAAATGAGTAGTGTATTGCTATGGAACCGCGTGCGCAGTAAAATTAGTGTATCGCTCTATATATATACTTTATGTCAAATCATATTAAATAAATAGATTCATTCAATCAAGAAATTTAATGGGTAGATTGATTGTCCAATTAATATATTAATTAGACTCCAAACATTTCATACCTCTCATCCCAATTCGGCCCACTTTCAAAAAATGTCTCAATACATTCAAAGAGTATGTGAAATGTGCTTGCCGATATTGACAATAGTCGAACCACTTGGATACTTATGTTACGAGTTGTTCGTGTTCACTTTGTTCCGGCTTGGACAAGAGGAGGAGATTCGATAAAAGTGAGCTTTCATGATGAACATGTATTGTATTCACAATTTTTTAATATTTGGTTATATGTTATTATTATAATTTAATTATAATTTAATTATAATTTAATTTTATCATTTTCTTTCATCAATGCTTTCCCTAAGGGATGGCCGGAGTAGTTTATAATTAGACCGTGCAACGCACGTGTACAAGTCTAGTTAATCTAAAATACGTATACATTAGAAATGTTGTAATGAGTGTTATATACACTTTTTTGCTTTGCATTGTTAGGGAGATCGAATACATGCACAGATTAGAGATTCGAATATACACACTTTTAAAGATTTGAAAGAAAGTACTATCTCCGTCCCAGAGTATTTGTCCACTTTCATTTTTACATACCATCCAATTCACTTCTTTAATCCATTTTATCTTGTAATTTGTATATTAAAAAATTATAGAAATTATGTATTAATAATCTATATGTTAAGACAAATCAAACAAGATCACACATGACTATATTTAGGCTTACACATTGAGAGAATTTGATGAGTTAAAGTACTTAGATGAACAGTTCCAAAAGTCAAAACTGGACGAATACTCCGGAACGGAAGGAGTAATGTTTATTTACTGATGAGAGTCAAAGTAATACGCAATAACCAAATAACAAAAATTATCAATTACCATTTCATGCTACAATTCTTTGGCTAGACCTTCAAAAGAAGACAATATTACCACAAATTATTATAATAATAATGTAGTTTATAAAAAAGTCTTTTGAAGTTTGTAAAGCAAAAAACTTCTGTAGCTATAAATAATAAAATCTCTATATTCTACCTAGGGGTGAGCGTGGTACGGTATTTAGCTCGTTCCGATACCGTACCAAATATTTTGGTTCGGTATGGGATTTTACATTGTACCAATCCCGATCCCGAAGCATCGGTTCGGTATGGTTCAGGATGGTTCGATATCGGTTTCGGTACAAATCGAGATAAATATATACGTACCTAGTTTACATCATAAAATGTAACAAAACTTTTTATTTTTGAAAAAATGAATGTACATTTAACCAAAGAAAGATTAAAAAAATTTAAAAAATAAAAGAATAAAATTCAAAAAATACTTATGAAAGTTAGTTTATATTTAACAAACTAAAGAGAACGAGTGATAATAAAGTATTATTTCAAATATTTGTTAATATTCATCTACTCATCTACAAAAAATAAAAAACTCTTATTAAAGTGCAACTTAAACATAATGAAAATAAACTAAATTGTCTATATAAATTGTTTATTTAATGAAAAAATATAAAAAGATTATTATTTTATAATATATTAGTATATATGTTCGGTTCGGGAATTTCGGTATGGAAAGTAACCTCGTACCGTTCCCAAATACCGGACCGACCGTTCGGTTCGGTACGGTTCGGTTTCTTTTCGGTACTTTATCGCAGGGCCGGCCAATAGGGGGATAAGGTGTCGGTCCGGGCCGGGCCCAATTTTTTTAGGGGCACAATTTTTTTTAAGCATTATATATATATATATATATATATATATATATATATATATATATATATATATATATATATATAATATATATATATATATATATAATATATATATATATATATATATATATGATGGAGGACGACCCCAAAAGACACGTCAGCCGGGCCCCATCAGCCACGTGGAAGATTTTCTCTGCTCGGCCCATGAGCTCGGCTCGGCCCGTGAGCTCGGCTGGAGACCGTGATAGCGACCGCCGGATATCGACCGGCCACGTTGACTGCGCGACAGCGATGGGATGAAAGAGACAACGCATAACAGAGATGACGTCCGCTAGGCGACGAACCTCGATCAGAGAAACTTTGACTATGTGTATTGTATCCCCTATAAAAGGGGAGAGACCCCTCATCGTAATGGATCCAAGTTTAGAACGAATAAACTCCTACTTTGCATTCTCTCTCTCTCTAAAACTTATACTGTTCTTCATTCTCGGTGGTTTATAACCATCAAATTGGTGCTCTCGTTGAGAGAAGAGAAACATACTCGTAGGTGGACTCCCGGAAGCGAGAATGGTGCAAACAAGGAGCAACGTCCCCACCAGCCAGGTAGTAGGCGAGGAGATGGCGCCGGGAAGCGGCAACGGCACGGGCGGCATAGGCTCGACTCCGGACGTGGTCCAGGCGTTGTTCGGCTTGGGGGTGACCGCGGAGCAGCTCCAGGCAGCCGTTGCGGCACTTTCCGCCATGGGCGGGAACGTGCCCGGCGCCGGAGCTGGTAAAGCCCCACCCGGTCCCCATGTCGAACACGCTGCCACTTCCCAACATAGGGGGAAGAAGACCCGAAGGAGCAGGAGGAGGCCCGGCAAAGCCCAAGTGTTCGAGGAGGTAATAGTGGAGGACGTTCCCGAAGGGGAGGACGACGAGTCCAGTGAGTGTAGAATCTCAGCCTTCAAACGTTTGGGAGGCGAGGATACCCGAGTGTCGGCATTCGACCGACTCAACCGCGGTCCGGAAGGCCGTCTAGGTGATCTTCGCCGGCAGATCTCCGAGGGTAGGCGAAGGAACGGGGAAGAATCCGCGACCTGGGATGCGCGCTCGGCGAGACCTGAGCGAACCGAAGGCCGAAGGGACGAGCGAACTCAGCGTCGCCAGAGCCCATCCAGAACCGAGGGGACTAAGATCCCTGAACGGGGTATGACTGAGCTTGCGCACGAGATTGCCGAGCTCAAACGCCGAGTAGAGACAAAGTCCCCCTACAGCCAGCCCATCTTGCGCACGGTAACCCCGTTCACACCGAGGGTGATGTCAGTCCCGCTGCCGACAAACTTCCGTCCGTGGCAGATCAAGGCTTACAGCGGGACGACGGATCCCGAGGATCACTTGTCAAAGTTCTACGCTTCAATGGAGGCGGCGGCAGCCCCGGACGAGGTCAAGTGCAGGTGCTTCCTCGCGACGCTAGAGGGGTCCGCGTGCGATTGGTTCAACCGGCTCCCAAAGGGAACTATTGACGATTGGGATACGCTGGCGGAGAAGTTCTTGACGCATTTCGCGGCCAACCGAAGGCAGAGGCTCCCTTACTCCCACCTGCTCAACATATGCATCCGCAAGGGAGAGAAGGTCCGCGACTTCATAGTCCGGTGGGAGAAGGAAGCCAGAGACGTGCATGGGGCGGATGACCAGGCGTTGGTTGCCATGTTCCAAGCAGCCCTCCCCCGCAGAGAGGTGAGGAAGGAGCTCCGCAAGAATCCTCCCCCCCACGTACTAAGAGACCATGGTGCGCGCAAAGTTCTTAGCCTCGGAGGAGTTTGATGACGCCATGGAATCCGAGGCCGCGCCGGCTAAGCGAACTTCAGTAGATTCGGGAGAGGCCGCGAAGAAGAGGAAGAAGAAGAAAGACTATACCGCGGGCCCGAGGACGCCCTCGGCCGGAGTATACTCTGTGGGCGCTCCCGTGGGGGTGGGTCGAGAGCTTGCCCTCTCCCCGCTCTCCCACGTAGAGGCTTACGCGGTGTCCAGCGGAACTAAGTATTGCGAGTACCATCGTAACAACACTCACAACACTAAGGAATGTTTCACTCTCCAAAAGGAGATGCAGAGACTCATCGCCCGAGGGCCGCCTCCCCGTGATGATGGAGCAGCCCCATCTCGGGGGCCGCCGGAAGGAAGAACTTGGAGAAAGCCGGCCGAACCGGTCGCGGTGGCCACGCAAGCAAGGAACCCCGAGAAGAGGCACATTGGGCGAGAGTATGATGATCTAGACGAGGACGAAGCCCAAGGATATCCGGTGGGATTCATCCATGGAGGAAACATCGGCGGGGACTCCGCCTCTCAAAGGAAGAGGTGGAAGCATATGGCCTTTGTCGCCAAGGTCCATCAGGCGCCGGCGCCCAAGCTCGGAAGGCGAGAGCAAATCCAGTTCACGGAGAAGGACCTCCCGAGCACGCCGAGCCCCCACCGGGATGCCCTAGTCGTGAAGATTGAAATCAATGACTCCATAGTGCACCGCACCTTGGTAGACACAGGAAGCTCGGTTAACATCATGTATGAAAAGACCTTCCAGGACCTCGGCTTGGACCGCAAAGACTTGAGGCCCGTGCGCACTCCTCTCTCCGGGTTCACGGGGGACTCCATTGAGGCCGAAGGAGTCATCACCGTGCCCGTGATAGTAGGGGATGGGGCGCACAAGGCTAAGCTGAAGATGGAATTCATGGTTGTGAGCATCAACTGCGCGCACAACATGATCCTAGGCCTGGCCTGGAGGACTTGGAATGCGTAATCTCCCCGTATTACTTGTGCATGAAGTTCCCCACCCCGTCCGGGATTGGTGTGGCGAGGGGAGATCAGAAGTTAGCTCGATCGTGCTACGTCCGAATCACGAAGAAGTTGCCAAGGGACGAGACGTTGGTCGTGCAAGCACAAGAAGGGGAGCGGAAGCTAGAAGCACGACCGAAGGCCGAGCCCGCCGAAGAAGTCGAGGAGGTGCTGCTCGACCCTCGAACACCCGAGCGGAAGGTGAAGGTCGGGGTGAGTCTGACCGGGAGCCAGCGGAAGCGCTTGATGGACGTGCTCTCGGCCTA